TATATATATTCTAGAAAGAAAAAATCATCACCATAAATTCTTCTTGGAGTTTATATTCTTATATGACTTTAATGAGAATGGCATATGGTCTATTTACTAAACAACTAACTCTTAAGTTTAAAACTGGATCATACTTTTACAATATATCTATTTTTCTTACTGAAAAATTGTTTGAAAACTTATTCATAATTATTGGAAATATATTAAATGAAACTAATCAAATAACCATGGGTTTATATGGCCCAGGTCTATCTCATTGATAACCTCCTCCTGAAATAAGCTGCCAAAGAATTATGTTCATTTTCAACCAAGACTTACAGTCTACAAGTACAATGCTATTTTATTTCATGCAGTAAACCATCTACCTTCTAGTAGTGCCAAATCTGAAATGAGAAGATAATAACATAAATCAGGAGGGCTGACAGATGTTGAGCTGAGGAACTATGAGTTACAAAGACTTACATGTCTTGGAGAAGAAGAATCTGGTTGGACACTCTAAAAGAAAAGCAGAACAACAGATTATACTACTGAAGTCTTTCAATTTTATAAATAACTTTCAAAATGCTTGAAATGATTTCAACAAACCATGATCAAGAAACAACCTACCTTACTTCTTTTCCACAAATAAAGTATCAACTACAGATACTGGTGTCACTGTGATATTAAAAACACACTAAACCTTCCCTAACTCAAGCACACTCCATCCATGAAACACAAAACAACATGGTTAACTTTTAAGACAAACCAGTTTGAAATTTCAACTTCACAAAACAATTCAATAGTATATGCATTAAATATATGCATTTTAACATCAAGATCATCAAATTATATACTTGTAAGAGACTATTATTTTTCCATTGTTGTTGTTGTTGTTAGGTGCCATAGAGTCAGTACCAACCCATACCAACGTTATACACAGCAGAATGAAACACTGCCCATATCTGGGCCAACCTCACTACTGTTGCCACGATTGAATCCATCGAAGATGCCACTTGGCCAATCAATCTCATTGGGGGTCTTCCTCTTTTTCTCTGACCCTCCAACCTACCAAACATGACATCCTTCTCCAGCAATTGGTCCCTCCTGACAACATGTCCAAAGTATGGGAGACTGAGTTTGGCAAGCTTGGCCTCCAAGGAGCACTCTGGCTGCACTTCTTCCAAAACGGATCTATTGGTTCTTTTGCAGCCATGGTACTTTCAATATTCTCCTCCAACACCATAACTCAAAAGCATCAATTCTTCTATGGTCTTCCTTATTCACTTTCCAGGTTTCACATGCTATATGAGGTTATTGAAAATACCATGGCTTGGGTTAGGAGCACTGTAGTCTTCAAGTTGACATCTTTGCTCTTCAACACTTTTAAAAAGGTCTTGTGCAGCAGATTTGCCCAATGTAATACGTTGTTTGATTTCTTGACTGCTGCTTCTGTGAGAGCTGATAGTTGATCCAAGAAGAATGAAGTCTTTGACAACTTCAATCTTTCCTCCATTGATAACAATGTTTTATTGGTCCAGTGGTGAGCATTTTTGTTTTCTTTACATTGAGATATCCATTCCGAAGGCTGTGCTCTTTGATGTTCATCAGTAAATGTTTTAAGTCCTCTTCACTTTCAGCAAGCAAGGTTGTA